GTGGGGGTGGGAGGGGCAGGAGCTGCTAAACTGGGGAGAGACCTCAGGCTTGTTTGGAGAGCTTTATGTGCGCCCTTTGTGCTGGAAGACTTTCTTCTGGGAGAAAGGAAGGGGTGGCCTGCCCCTTTCCAGTAGAGTGCCCCTGCTCCTGCTTGTCAGATAGCTGTGGAAGGGTCGCCAGCCCCTGGCCCCTGAGTACCAAACCTGGGAAACTGACCATGTGTCTCCTCTTTAGTTCTGGCTGCTGAGGGCTCTGGCTCACACTTGGCCCAATTCCAGGCAGCACTGCCCCTTTTAGGGGCTTCCATTTTGCCAGCCCCATTCTCACCTGGGAAAGAAACGTTTTCCCCGTGTTTCTCTGGATCCCGGTGCAGCTGTCTGCAGGCAGCTTAGGGTCTGCATGGAGGGCGGGACATCTTTTCTGATTCTCCTCTTAATGAATCCTTCTGCTTATAAACTCTCTGTCCTTCCCACTCATGATTTCCAAAGTCTCCGGAGTCGTCTCTATGAGGTCTCACTCATTGCCGTCCGAGCCACTTGTGGCCCATAGTGACCCATAGTGACCGTGTAGAGCGGAGTAGCCCTGCCCCTTGGGGGTTTCCCAGGACGTCATCCTACAGAGGCAGGCTGCCACATCTTTTCCTGCAGAGTGCCTGGTGGGCTTGAACTGCCGACCTTTCAGGTGACAGCTGGGCACTTGAACCACTGTGCTGCCTTGGCTCCTTCCTTGCAGGGTAGAAGAGTCGAGTAAATAGCTCACTGGCTTTGAAGCCTTCTGAGTTAGGTAACATGATATGCTTGGAGTTTCTTGCTTCAGGAGCCTTGAGTTGCTGCTCTGTCTCCATCAGCCTTCCCCACTTACGCGCTTCATTCCCTCTCCTTGGACCGGTGCTGCACCCGTTTACCCGCCTTATGAAGCGGCACTTAACTCCCCAGAGCTTCCGCAGACCATGGCCAGCTCTGTTCCGCGCTTTCCACAAAGCTCTGGGCTGTTCTTGTGGTTCCGCCTTGCTCAGCAGAGAAGCTGGCACAGACCGAGTTTCTGACGGGGGGACTGGGTTGGTCATCGGGAAGGGGAAGTTCGTCTCCCTCTAGGAAACAGGAGCAGTGTGGGCATTTCACAGCAACCAGACCTAAGTGCAGAGCAGGAACCACGGCCCTGCTCCAAGGGGCTGTTCCTCTGCGGGTGTGGCTCTCACAGTCTTGGCAATGCCCGTCTCCCACGTCAGGCTCCTGAAAGGATTCACTGGGGGTCTTCTTCATCGCCATTTCAGCGCTCGGGTCTGTGGTTTTCCCACTCCACTGGTGGTTCAGCTTCTCCCAGACTTTAAATTCATGCTCCATGCTGATTGCACTGCTTCCCGGGACAGAACTGGTGTGAAGCCCTTCCTCCACGTGGCCTCCAACTGTCAGGCTCAGAAACAGGAGCCCCTCACTGCCGCCCAGCCTTGTGGGGCAGGTTTTGCTTCCTAAGGCCGGAAGCCTCTTCCCACCCCACTCCGCAGCGCAAAGTTGGCTCCTACCTCTGATGACAGTCAGCACTGCTCTCCGCACTCAACGGGTGGTCTCCTCCCTCCGCCAGCTGAGTGCAGGGTGTCTTTTTCGGTTGCAGGAACATTTTAAGCCAGGGGTTGGCACACTTTTGAGATGGAAAGAGCCAATACCTCACAGCAATTTTAACAAGTATTCAAGAGCCATAAATACATTAAAATTTTTTTCATAAATACAGTTTTATAAACAAATGAAACCATGATCTGACTAATATATCCTTTCAAGTTTTTCTAAATGGAACTATGATAGTTTTATTTCCCATTTCCCTTACGAACCACATACATGTATGTGCCGAAAGAGCCACAGCTGGCCAGTCCCGGTTCAAGCTCTGCAGTCTCCTGTGGCGGCGGCCAAGTGAAGCCCCCATGGGTTCTGCGGCAGGCTCTGCTGGAGTTCGTCCGGTTACAGACAGAAGCAACCCCCTCAAGCAGCGCACCCCAGAGGCCCCCCCATAGAATTCTGATAGCGCTTCTCCAGTCCGCGCTCTGCACACGGAGAGGGGCAGCCTGAGGACCGCGTGGCGATGGACCAGACGCCTGCGAGCACCCTGGGAAGACCGGAAGGACCCACTTCTGCCTTCTGCGTGCTTGTTTTACGCCTGATCCCGAGCTTAAGCTCCGGTACCCAAAAAACCCTTTTCAAATCCTGAAAGATTATGTCCTTCTTATAACCAGACACTGAACTCTTGACCACAAGGCCGGCAGTTCAAACCCACTAGCCCCTCCAAGGGAGAAAGATGAGGCTGTGTGCGCACACAAAGATTGACAGTCTCGGAAACCGTATGTGGCAGAGGTGGGGAACTTTGTGCCAAGGACCATTTAGATCTTCCTAACATCATTCCTGGGCCACACTGGTCAAACGTTTAATTAGTTCACCCCTGATGTGATGGCTCTGGAGCCTGGGTGGGTACAAGTTGGGCTGCAAGACTCACGGTTCAAAACCACCAGCTGCTCTGAGATGCTCTACTTGGAGCCCTTAGAGTACTGTACCAGAAACCCACCCGAGGAAGTTCTGCCCTGCCCTCTAGGGGGTGCTGTGAGAATGGTGGCAGGAACTGTGTCTCCGGTGAGGCATGTGATGTTGGCTGGTATTGAGGATTTTGCTGGTTGCAGTCTCTCAGAACCCACTTGGCGGCAGTGGATTATAATCAGACGGTGTCGTTTTCCAGCCTGTAAAGCTCCTACAGATTTGTCCTTGATTCGATTACCAGTTGAAGCTTTTGAATCCAAAAAGCGTTTTCCTGTGGAATCTGGCGGGAATGGGGAAAGGCCTAGTTCCCCTCCTATCAGGAGTGAGACACCATAAAAATAGGCCTCAAGATGAGTTCAGGGAGATGAAGATCCCTGCTGATGGTAATATCAGCACCTGGAGTTACTTATGATACCTCACTGAAAATGCAAGAGATACAAAAGAGCATAGGGGAAAGACCCTCCCTGTTGCCCTGCCACATTTCCCAGCCCAGTAACGGTGCCCTTTCTCTGCCTGGCTGTCTTGGACGTTGTTCAGTGCTCTTGATTTATGGTGGAATAGAATTTCATTGTATCAGTATGCTACACCTTGCTTAATATGTTTTAATGTGTCCCCCGCACCTCACTGCACTCCTTTCCGTCTTTGTGAGAAGGGGTTACCTATCTTGGAAGGATAGCCAGGATGCTTCTTAGAAGCAAGTTGGCCAGACTTTACCTTGTGAGCTTTGGGCGCAAAATTATCTCCAGGGACTGGGTGGGGAAATCATGTTTGGTGAAGTTCATGAGGCTAGAGCCTCCCAGAGCTGGAGGACTTGGTGGTTGCAGCAGTGGGCTCCCACGTGGCAGTGATGTGGAAGGATGCTGCAGACCCTGGCCGTGTACCATCCTGCTGTGCACGGCCCCTGTGAGTTGGAACTGACTGCATCAAACACGGGCATCGCAGCTGCTCCTCCTCGGGGAGCGCGGAGAGAAAGAACATCGCCCACAATAGCAGGAGGCTGGGTCCGTGCGCGTGACCGGGGAAGAACGTTTGTTTGTTTCCCTCTCTGGGCTGAGACTTCCATCTAGTTAAACACCCGATAACATCAGGTGTTCTGGGCAGTAATTTATTGTAAAGTGTCTTTCCTGTGGATGGCTTTGTGAAGGGCTTGGTGTCCCATGAGGCTGCAATGGAGGCACGTAACACTGATGACACAGTTGCCTGGTCCCCCGTGCCATCGCAAGAACCAGATGGTCAGGGAAGGGGAACGTGCACACAGCATGCCCCCCCTCCCCCCAATCCGTGTCTTTGCTGCAGCCTCGGGGAGCAGTACTACAAGGATGCCATGGAACAGTGCCACAATTACAACGCCCGCCTCTGTGCCGAGCGCAGCGTGCGCCTGCCGTTCTTGGACTCTCAGACCGGAGTGGCCCAGAGCAACTGCTACATCTGGATGGAAAAGCGGCACCGGGGCCCAGGTGAGAGTCCCCACTGGGAGAAGGGCCTGGGGAATACATGCATGGTGGCCTTATGCTTGGAGGCCTGGGGGACCGAGGTTGATTGGTCCCTGGCAGTAGCTCTGCTTTCTGCCTGCCGGCTTCGTTCTTGGCCTCCCGGAGGCCCCTAGACCTACATTTATCCTAGGTTTATTTTGCTGGCCACAGATGACCCTTCCCCCGCATTTTAGTTACTGCTTTCCTCCCTTGGGAGCTCCAGGGGCTACTCATCTGGGTGGTCCTTCAGCGAGGTCTCTTGAACTGACTTCTTTCCTCCCACAGGGCTGGCCTCTGGGCAGCTGTACTCTTACCCTGCCCGGCGCTGGCGGAAAAAGCGACGAGCCCACCCCCCGGAAGATCCCCGACTTTCCTTCCCTTCAATTAAGCCAGGTGAGGCACACCCCTTTCTGCTGCTGGCCACCTGCTCTGTGTCCAAAAGATGCTCACCTGAATAAGAGGGAGTCCTCCCTTTACGTAGCGTGGTCTCATAGGGGAGGCTGGCAGGC